TTTAAAAAAACATAAAATGATGGGACTAGGGCAATTGATCAGATCACCAAATACATTTATGTACTTATTTATTCTACAAACCCCATTTAAAAGGTCAGTAAAAGAATGAAAGAAGGGGTCCTTGAACACAGAGAATGTGAGAGGGAACAGAAGATGGGCCGTGTAGACACACTTTGGGGAGAGGGCAAATAAATCCCTTATTTGCTTTGAGCTTCGGATTCCTTATCTGGAAAAGAGCAAGGAAAAGTCACTGATTTTCAGTATTCCATATTATGCTAGGCACTGCACTTCCTGGGATTGTTGGGAGCATTCACTGTAACAGATGAGAAGCATTTAGTAAAGCACACAGAAAACTGCCACTATTACTTTTAGTAATAGTGGCGGTTTTTTTGTCTATCAGACTGACAGATATCGAAATAAGTGTCTTTATTTACTTATTTAGAGAGTGCATATGTGTGAGTGGTGTGGGGGTGGGATGGGAGAGGGAGAGAGAGAATCCCAAGCAGACTCCGCCCAGTGAGCCCGATGCGCAGATGCAGGGCTGGATCCCACAACCCTGAGATGATCACCTGAGCCAAAAGCAGGAGTCAGACGCCCAACCAACTGAGCCACTCAGGTGCCCCTAAAAGAAATGTCTTTAAAAAATCGTGTCTTGGGCACCTGGGTGGCTCAGATGGTTAAGTGTCTGCCTTCGGTTCAGGTCATGATCCCAGAGTCCTGGGATCCAGTCCTTCATCGGGCTGCTTGTTCAGTGGGGAGCCTGCTTCTCTTTCCCGCTCCCCCTGCTCGTGCTTTCTCTGTCAAAAAAAAAAAAAAAAAGACTCAGTGTCTTATTCAAATTTGAGTTTCTCTAACCATAAATGAAGTTGAGCAATTACGTATATGTTCCGTTTGTACTTCTTTTCTTTTTGGTGATTTGCTTGATCATATCATCGTAAAAGTCGTAGTTAATATTTACTGCGTGCTACCGTGTACCAGGCACCGTGCTGTGATCTCTACAAGTGCTATTTCATTTAATCAGATTAAGTAGATAAAATTATGATGCCAATTTTCAGGGGAGGGAACCAAGGCTTAGAGAAGTCAATTTGCTCATCTCCATTACTAGTGAATGAGTAGAGTCTGGATTCTGAGCAAGGACTTGAGTCTCACCCTGAAGTCTGACTTGATTGACCCAGGCTCTTCACGCTTATGCTTAAATAACTCTCCCTTGATTGTTTTTCTGTTGGACAATTTGCCTTTTTCTTAATATTTTGCAAGAGCCCTTTGTATTTTGGTTGTGGGGGCTCAGAGTAGGGAAGGAGCTAACTAGGTTGAGGGCCAGAAGTGGCTTCAGAGATGCCTGGCCTTCCATCAAAGTAAGGCCGGGTGTGAGTCAAGGCGGTGCAGTCAGACATAGCAGGAAACCAACTGAATACCGAACCGAGGTCTGCAAGGATGAGAGACTTTGACCCCCTTTGAGAACAAGCAAGAGTGACTCACAGGAGGAAGAGAAAACCAGAGCTCCTGGGCTGTCCCCCATGAGCATAGATTGTCCAAAGTCATCAGAAGGAAGAGGAAAACCTGCAATAGAGCTGTGGCCAGGAGCAGCCAGAAGACCAATGCAAATAAGACCCGCCTACAACTGCCTGGAAACCAGGCCAAAGGAGTTAGAGCACAGAGAACATGCTGCATGGCCACCCTGCGGACTGGAGGAGGAGACTCTGAGGAAGCAGGTAAGGAGCCACAGAGGGTCATGGGGGGACGGGTGGGACACAGGACCCCAGAGTCCTGAGAGGCACTGCTGTCAGCCAGCATGAACACTGGCCTGGAAGGCAGGGCTCCTGGGACCAGTTTTCAAGCTTAGTGGTTCGTTAGCTGTGAACCCTTAAACAAGCCACTTCACATGCTGAGCCTCAGCGTCCCCATCTATAAAATGGGTCTAAAACTATCATGCCAACTGTGTACTAAGCACCTGCTGTGCTTTGCAGGGCATGTTACAGATACTATCCCTTCCTCACAGCAAGCCTCTAAGGTGGGGGATTATTAGCCTATTTTACAAAGAAAAATGATAAGCCATTTATCTAAGACCACACAGCAAATAAGTCTGGTTCCAAAGCCTGCATACTTTCAACTTTCTATCCTGCTTCCTTCACGGGGTGGTCTTAAGGAATCAAATGGGCTTGGGGCACCTGACTGGCTCAGTTGGTAGAGCATGTGACTCTTGATCTCAGGGTTGTGAGATCAAGCCCCACACTGGGTGTGCAGATTACTTAAAAACAACAACAATAAATAACTGGACAAAAAAAAAAAAGAACCTAATGGCCTTATGCAGATGGGAAAAAATTGTAAAAGGCAATCATCAAATGTAGATGTGAGTTGCCTCACTTAAGATCCTAGCCAGGACCGGGGCCCTTTGGTAAACTGTGAAGTCCTATAAAAGTGCTAGCTCTTGGGGCGCCTGGGGGGTGCTCAGTCAGTTGAGCCACTGATCTTGGTTTCAGCTCAGGTCATGATCTCAGGGTTGTGGGATCAAGCCCCGTATTGGGCTCCGTACTCAGCGTGGAGTCTGCTTGGGATTCTCTCTGCCTCTCCCTCTCAAATAATCTTTTTAAAAAATGCTAGTTCTTCATCTCTCTCGAGGGTAAAAACTTTGGGGTGATGCTATAGACAATATTTGGCTGACTTGGTCGCAGACAAAGGTGATGCCTTTGGGGTGGTGACTAGGACTTACTGCAGCTTCAACAGCGTGGGGGGTGAGTGGTGGTGGGAGGGTACGTGGTCAGAGTCTCTCCTGGAGAGAATGGACTCTGCCCTGCTGCGCCGGAAACAGCAGTGGATGTCAGTGGGGACCCCGGCAGATAAGGGCCCAGGTGCTGAGGCAAGAATGATTATTCCTCCTCCTGAACGGGGCCTTTTACAGCTTCGGCCATGGAACTTCAGAAAATGTGAGGTCTGCTTCTGGGGGGAGAGGGAGGTCTTTAAGGGCAGTAATACAAGTTTATTGGACTACAGTAAAGTTAGAGGATTTTCAGATAATTTTTTTAAAGATTTTATTTATTTATTTGAGAGAGAAAGAATGATAGAGAGCACGAGAGGAAAGAGAGTCAGAGGGAGAAGCAGACTCCCCGCTGAGCAGGGAGCCCGATGTGGGACTCGATCCCGGGACTCCAGGATCATGACCTGAGCCAAAGGCAGTCACTTAACCAACTGAGCCACCCAGGCGCCCCGGATTTTCAGATAATTTAAAACAAACAAACAAAATCCACCTATAATCTCACTCCCAGAGATAACCACTGTTGACATTTTGGTGTTTGCTTTTCCAGATATTTTTTCCATGGCACACATATGCAGGATAATTGAATAATATCATGATATGGCTTTATTACTGGTTCTTTTTGCTTAATTGCATATCACAAACATATTTCCGTATTAATAGATGTTTTAGCACATCATTTAAAAAAAGATTTATTTGAGAGAGCAGGAGGGGGAGGGGCAGAGGAAGGAGAGAGAAGCTCAAGCAGACCCCCTGCTGGGCAAGGAGCCTGACGTAAGGCTCGATCTCATGACCCTGAGATCATGAACTGAGCCAAAACCAAGAGCTGGACGCTCAACCAACTGTGTAACCCAGGTGCCCCTTATCACATCATTTTAAAGGCTGCAGAATGTCTCTTCATGTGGTTGGAGCAGAATGTCTTTAATTAGCGTCCCACTGTTGACGGAGTATGTAGTTTTCCATACTTCACTGGTAGAGCCGTGCTTCTACGGGCATCCCTACAATCAAGCCTTTGCACAGGTCCTTGATTATTTCCATGGGACAGATTCCCAGCAGGGGAACTGCTGGATCAAGGCTATTACCTTTCAAGGCTTTTGATATGTATTCAAGGTGTGCTATGGATACACTCTGGAATTCAGAGCTCCTTAAAGCTCAACGCAGAAACCTTTCTCATGGCTTCAAAGTCAACTTTGATCTTTCCTGTCTCTCAAATCCATTTGCAGGGATAATTGCCCATCTCATAGGTAGTCTTTGCTGGGCGCCAGGCTCTAAGAGCTTTACCTTCAGACATACTACTTTCCTCTTCAGAAGACACTGAGGCACAGGCTAAGCAATTCAACTGGGATCACAGCCCTGAGAAGTAGTGCCTTTGGGGTCATGAGCCTCAACAACATGGTTCCAGAACCTATGTTGTTCACTGCTTTTTGGGAAGTGCTTTCGATTTAATCTCCAGAGATGGTTTTTATTCCTTCCCTTGGATCTTCTCTGTCATGGCCTTGTCTAAGTCAAGCACCACCATCCCAGCCTGAATGATGAAGTCCCTCATGGTCTTTTACTTCCACTCTGTCCTTTTTAGTCTGTTCTCTGCTCTGTAGCTGGAATGCTGTTGTTATTAAAGATTTTATTTATTTGAGAGAGAGAGATTGAGAGAGTGCACAAGAGGGGGTAGGGTCACAGGGAGAAGCAGACTCCCCACTGAACAGGAAGCCTGATGCGGGACTCGATCCTGGGACTCCAGGCAGTTGCTTAACCAACTGAGCCACCCAGGCACCCTAAAGATTTTATTTTTTAAGCAATCTCTACACCCACTGCACCTCAGGCTTCTTTCACTTCCTGAATCTGGCAGAGCCTTTTTTCACCTTGGGGCTTCGGTACATGTTGTTCCCTTGGCCCAGAACGTCCTTCCTCCACGCTGTGTGGCTGGTTTCTTGTCCTTCACATGCAGCTTTCAGACCCCCTCTTTGCAGCAACCCTTCCTGGTGGTTTCCTATGGAGGCCGTTCCCTAAGCCCATTTTCCTTTCTGTCCTTTGTAGCATGCATTACATATTTATTTATTACCCACTGCTCACTAGACATCTTTTTCCCTCATGACACTCTAAATGTCATGAGGTCAAAGTCATGCCTCTTTGGTTCACCATTGTTTACCCAGTGCCTAGTACAGTTCCGGACATGCAGTTGGTGCTCGATACCTTAATAACTGTGGAATGACTGGTCCACAGAAGACATTTGTAGGTAAGGATCCTTGATAAACTCCCAGCTTCGGCCAGAGCTGTTCTATCCTCCTTCATCCCTTTGTTTCCGCCTCCCTACATGGAGCAGTGGAAGAAGTCTAGAAGGAAACCCGGAAGCCATGGGCAGGAGAGTGTCAGCAGGTTTTGGTTTCAACTCAGTTAGGGCGGATGGTGTCCTTGGAGGCACACCAGGGAGACTTGGTTCCCCCAAACCCCCTGCACGCTTCCTGGATTCCTACGAGAGACTCCTAGCATGAGGAATCTCCTGATCAGGCGCTAAACACTTACTATGTGGTGAATAACATACATCCAGCAGGTGGTACCGCTGCCTAGCTGGGGTACCTTGGGTGAGAGCCACTTCTTGCCTCCGGAGCGTCAGCAACGTGAGTGCTTAGGATGGAGAAGTGGTTTTTCAACTTTTTTTGTCCCCCCCTCAGCAGCTCAACTCTTCAACTTAATTCAAGTGATCGATAGGAGAAAAGCTAGGTGTTTCTGATTGAAATGGGGAAGTGGGGCTGGAACTCTCTTTCCTGACTCCCTAAGTCCCCAAGGGCGGGGAGAGGGCCAACCTTTCTTTGGCCATCTAAGACCTCAGGGGTCACTGCCTGCCAGGCTGATTGTCCGTGTAAGAACAAAGATGGCAGCAAGACTTGCGTGGTTACAGCTACTTGGGCACATTAAATTATTAGGAAGGGAGGGTGCCTGGCTGGCTCAAAGGACCATGTGACTCGATCTTGTGGTAGTGAGTTCAAGCCTCACGCTGGGTGTAGATGTCACTTAAAAATAAACAAATTTGCTGAGTCTGCGGTGCAGAGATTTTAGGCTGTGTAGCAGATAAACTTCAGAGCCCCTTTGTTAGGAGGAGGTTTTAGCCATTTTAGAAAAGAAACGAGGGCCTAGGAGAGATGCCCAGAGGCTCATTTACCCCCTCCACAATCTAGGAAAAGGAAATTGCCACCCCTACCTTCCTAGGCCATGGATCCCAGGTCTTGAAGAGACTGCCCACAATCTTGCAGATGTTTGGCTTCCACGGTTGGTTGTTTGCCACACCCTGGGGGAACTCTGGTCCCCCACCTCCCTACCCCCTGCCACACAGGCAGCTCTGTGGCCTGTGCTGCAGGTAGGTGTGCTCAAGAGGCTGCAGACCAGGCCACCTGGCAGCTCCAGGTGCTGTGTGTGTGCTGCCATGGAGACAGGCCCCAGGGCTGGTGGCTGGTAGAGAGAAGGCAGTCTCCCAAAGCTGTGTGGATTCAGGAGAGGGAAAGACTGGAGCCTTGGGTCCTTCAGGTAGTCTGCCTGACCACCTAGTACCAAGGAAGCCCAGGTGAGTGCCCTGGGGTTTCTGGGGACAAAGGGAGGGAGGAGGAGCCAGGGGAGGCCAAGTATTGGGAGGTTCTGGAAGGGCTGACCTGGGGACCTGGGCAGAAGAGCCTCTCTGAGCTTCCAGGTCAAGGAGAAAAGCCTTGCCAAGCCAGTGAAGTGCCCTGCCCAATGACTGGGCAAATGGGCTCTGGAGGGTTGGCCCTGTACAGCCCAGTGGGAGGAGGGGAAGAGGGCCTGGCATTCATCCCAGAGGAGGGACAGACCAGGGAATTCACAAAGGCCATCTCTGCATTAGTCAGGGACTTAAGGCAGCAGGGAAGGAAGTATTTGCCTTATAATACAAACCACTGATGGGCTCCCCTCCCTCTCCCTGGAGTCTGAGAAATCAAGGGCAGTCACATGGAGCAGAAGGAACATTTTTTTTCCCACTTCCCAAGTGGGGGTACAGTCCCCTCCAGTGGCAGTTCATTAATGGTGGGGTGATTCAGGCCTTTGCCCTGATAGGGGGGATGCTGCAGGAGCACCAGACTTAACTCTACAGCTTAGGAACTTGGTGATCTGGAACACATTGCTTCGACTTTTGAATTTTTCATCTGTGAAATGTGGGTGACAGTAGGTTTTGACAAGGCACAGAACCCTTAGTCTACGACCAAGCACAAGGATGGAGCTCAGCGAGTTATCCTTCTGCTCCTTTTCCCTTTCTGCCAGGACATTCCTGCCAGGCCTCCCGGTGTCTCATCTGAGGATGGCGGAGCGGCAGGGCCAGGAGCCTGAGTGCCCTGTCTGCTGGAACCCCTTCAACAACACATTTCACACCCCCAAAGTGCTGGACTGTTGTCACTCCTTCTGTGTGGAATGCCTGGCCCACCTCAGCCTGGTAACTCCAGCCCGGCGCCAGCTGCTGTGCCCACTCTGTCGCCAGCCCACTGTGCTGGCCTCTGGGCAGCCGGTCACAGACTTGCCCACAGATACCGCCGTGCTCACCCTGCTTCGCCTGGAGCCCCACCACGTCATCCTGGAAGGCCACCAGCTCTGTCTCAAGGACCAGCCCAAGAGCCGCTACTTCCTGCGCCAGCCCCGGGTCTATACGCTGGACCTAGGCCCCGAGCCTGGGAGCCAAACGGGAGCCCCCCAGGACGTGGGCCCTACCACCAGGTCTCTGCCCATTCCCATCCCCAGCCACTACTCTCTGAGGGAGTGTTTCCGCAACCCTCAGTTCCGGATCTTTTCTTACCTGATGGCTGTTATCCTCAGTGTCACTCTGTTGCTCATCTTCTCCATCTTTTGGACCAACCAATTCCTTTGGGGTGTGGCGTGAGCACTGCTTCTGGGCAAGGAACCACGCCTTTAAAAAAAATTTTTTTTTAATTCTTATTATTTTAAGTAGGCTCCATGCCCAGCGTGGAGCCCAACACGGGTGAACTCACAACCCCATGATCAAGACCCGAGCAATTAAGAGTCACACACTTAACTGACTGAGCCACCCAAAAGCCCTGGATCTAAGCCTTTCTTGACTGTTGCTGGGGATGGGGACTGCACAGCCTCATTTGGGGCTGTCTTCCTTTGTTGTATTGTTCATTTTTACAGTCTATCAGTTAGTCCACGTGTTTGCTTCTGCAAACAGATCCCTACTATGATGAGAACCTCTGAAAGCTAAAAGGCTGGGAAAAGATGTGAAGAGACATCTAGTTCTCTCTTGACGTGAGCCACGGGGCCAAGAAGGGCAGAGAAGCAGATCTTTGATTATAGGGCTACGGAACAAGTTGTGCCAAAGGGCTGGACCACAGTATCCAGGAGCCCGACTAGCCCAGAGAGAAAGTTGCGTTTCTCAATGGAGTTGCTTCGAACTCCGTTCACATTTGAGTTGCTCTTTTTAATAGGTGTTGCTAAAATTTTGTTAAGTGAGCTTCAATTCTGTGAGCAAATGTGCATGCCTTCTTTCAGTTTTCTCTTTGGAAGTCTTGCCACCAGTCCCAGGAAAAAATGGTGTGCATTCATGAATTCACGCACTTACTCATTCCTACCACCACTTACTCGGCCCATGTTATGTCAGAACTAGGGGAAGAGAAGGGTGGAATTATCCATGGGTGACAGAGAGCCTTTACCAGCAAGGAGGGCTGCTTCTTGTAGAAGACAACCTCTTGTCAGCATGTGGTTTATGGAGTGTTGAGAATATAAAAGTGTAAAGGTGAAAAGAAACCAGGGTCAGTGAATCAAAAGAAATCTGGGATTTGGAGAAAAGGTGCAGGCTGGTAGGTGCAGAGGCCCCAAGTAAGCCTGGATGTTGGGTAGAGTCAACTCCCCTCCTCCAGGCAATGGAATTCTGACCTTGAGAGATAAAGCAGAAGCCCTGGACAGCGGAAAAGCCTTAGCTTCCATCCCAGGCCATGCAGACGGGGGACCCTGGTCTTCATTTTACGTGACAGAATCTTAGAACCAAGGCAAACTAGATGCTTCAGCTGTTTGGCTACAAGTTGCTACCTCTGCATTGTCTAAAACCCCTTCTGCTTTCCCAGTTTTAATACTGCCCTGTGGCCCACGGCTTTGGAACAGTCTCAAAGTGGTTAAAACACCATCACAATGATGAAAAGATCTTGATTTGTGGAATAAACTTTCAGAGGTCAGAAATGGAGTCGGTTTTATTTGTTCTAAAAATTTTGTGCTTAACGGAACTAGTTTCTATAAATTCTTAAGGGATCTTAATGCACAAAATATTCCAAAATAGCCAGGGCAGAGAAGCAGATCTTTGATTATAGGGCTACGGAACAAGTTGTGCCAAAGGGCTAGACCACGGTATCCAGGAACCCGACTAGCCCAGAGAGAAAGTTGCGTTTCTCAATGGAGTTGCTTCTCAATACAGTTGACCTGTATTTCATGTTTCCTAAGACCACACGGTGTTAAGCACCAACATGAAGAAAATTCTCCATTACAAAACTGGAATGCCACCCTATGTATCCCGCCAGGGGACTGACACCTACCTCTCCATTTGCACCATCAAAGATAATTACACTAAAGCTGGGACTCAACCTCTTCCTGCTGATTTCATTTCTTTACACATCGTTGCTCCTTAACATCGTGGCAAGTAAATTAGGCAATGATCTCCCTATGTTCTCTGGGCCATGAGGAGAGGGAGAGGAGCTGGGGGAAGCTCAAGAAGAAACACCTGCCGCTGCAGTAGAGCTTACTGCTCTGAGTTAAGGAAACTTCATCCCTATTCTGCAGGTGAACCTGAGGCTCCACAGGTTTTGCTGTCTCATTCCAGCTCACCAGCCAGTAAGTGGTGGGGGCCTTTTAGTCCAAGTAGAATTGGGGAGTGGCTCTTGGAGTGGCTAGTACACCATCCACATAGGGAAAGATATAGGTTTGAGTTTTTTGGGGGTAGGGAAGGATATGCTCAACAGTAGGGTGTCTATTTTTACCTTCAGTAGTTCTAACCTTGGGGCATGCAAAAATGTCTGGAAGCAACTTTGGTGTTCCAATGACGGGGTGGGATGTGCTTCTGGCTTTTATTACTCTATAGGTCAGGGATGGTGAGACATGCTGCAATGCTTAAGACAGCTCCACACAACAAAACATCTATCCCAAGATGCAAAGTTTCCTGCTGAGTGACATTACAGGCGCCTCATTAGTTCATGATGTAGAGGTGGTGAAATCCCGTGACTCCCTTTGGCATGAAGTCAGACTGAGATGCAGTGACTCATCACAAGGGAGGTGTCACAGGTAGAGGGGCTAAAAAGCTCTGGCTTTGTATAGGAAACAGGCCATATTGGCTGGACTGGTCATTCTGTCTGGCCAGTGCTGCCAACATACTCAGTAAATCCCTATGAAATCTCTTCCTAAGGTCACAGACACACAGACAGACGAGGCTCCATCACTCACTGACAGGGTAACCCTGAGCAAGTTACTTAACTTCTCTGAGCTTCGATTTTGTCTGTAAAAAGGGAATACAACTTAACTCAGAAGATTAGGAGGATTAAATGAAGTGTCTGAACATGGCTGGCAAAGTCTCTAGGCAGGAAGTGTCCTTTTAAGTGGTGGCTCTGATTCTCACTATTATTATGAAACACTATATTTGGTTTATGCTTCTCAGCTAACTGCCTCCTTACAACGAAGTAATGTATATTCCACAAGGGAACTGTTTTGCCAAAAGCTTACATGAAATGTGTTCACCTGATTGCTACCTCAATCTCTTGGAACAACCACACACACACAAAAAAAGTTCAACAGAATAGTAAAATTTAAACTTGAAAAACTTAAAACCTTTGTTAATACACTACATCCAGATTGCATGCTAATACACTAATGTTAATTATTACTTTACACATAGTACAAAAGTTAGTAATGAAAAATTATTTTCCACGGCCAACTATGGAGGAAATAAAATCCATTAATACTTAATAACGAAGTCCCAAATGCGCAACAGGGGGCAGAGCCCATAATTCAGAAGCTTAACCAGCACTCAAAATATGCAACTATTTGGTTATAACTAAAATTAGACAAAAGATTATCACACATTCGTAGTTTGCAGGATAGAATTACTAGACAAAGCCACTGTCAGCCTCTCTGGAACAGCAAATGAAGTGTTTTGAACATTCAAGGAAAAGCCATCATATAAGCCCTTCTCCATTTCTCTATATGCAATCCTTTCTTCTTCCAAATTCCTGTATTTTTGTCAGAATTTACTGTGTACTTCGTGTTCAGTGGTTGTGTATTTGGGGTGGAAAGAGGTGAAGGTGACTGCTGCACGGCCAATGAGTATGAATTACAGAGTCCAGACCCAGTTTGCTAATAGTCTGGCCCACAAGGCAGTAGTCTCTACAAACAAAAACAAAAACAAAAACTATTAGCAGAGTGCTTAAGAAGAGAAAAACTGGAATAAGCCATATCTGGTATCATCCGTTATATCTCAAACAAAAAAAAAGGGGGGGGGAGAACTCTATGGACCAATGGCTGGGATTCAGAAAATGCCTAACTATACAAAATAAGTCTTTAAAGGACATTTTTTATAATAGGATTTTACTCTGTAGCAAGTGTGTAATAAAGAAAAAAAGAAAGTTGATGTTGACGAATACCCATGAGGGATTTTTCCCAGTTACCTTGCCATGAAAGGTACATCCTCTTAATAACCAATACAAAGGAGGTGGCACAACAGAGACTTCATGTTTGCTTTCCAGAAATTTCATTGCCTCTTGACACAATGGCCTAGCTTTGGGGTAACACAAAGGATGCCAAACTTCAAAGCAAAATGGAAGACATTTTCGGACAGGGCAAATGTTCAGTTCTGAGCTTCCTGATGTGGTTAGCATTCCAAGCAAACTCAACAGGAAGAGGTAAAATCTTCTTTACTGCATAACCCTGAGCATAGCTGTGGTCTACCTCTTCATCTCCTGTTCTAAAGGCAGAGGAAAGGTTTGCACTCTGTCAAGGCACTGGTTAACCAGGTGTGTGGTGAGAAGTGCCTCTTTATTTGAGGGCTTCCAGACTATAGTGCAGCTGCTTGCTCTGTGGGTCACATGTAGTCCTGAGGCACGTACCACGTAATGGAAAGCCAAGTTTCAAAATTAAAAATGGAGCCAGTCACAATCCTGAGTGCTGTAAAGGAGGCAATAGGGCATTCAAACAATAGATTAATAAAAACAAGGTCTACACAGTCCGTAGCAGGGTTTGAAGATGAAAATAAAAATTTCAACTACAAAAGGGGTTCATCAACCCCAGAGACTGGGCTGCCTACCTGGAGTGGAGGCTGACATGGAAATCCAATTCTTTTGAGGGTCTATACAATGTAATTGGCAAAAAACATGATAGAACAAAACATATCAATTCCTTTCTTTTGAAAATGGCTCTTAGGGAAGAGCTTTGAGGTTAGAGCCCTTTTTCCATGGTCCTGCCTATTCAGCCATCCAGAGCTTGAAGGTCCTGTCATACGAGCAAGTGGCTATGAGCTGCCCATCAGAAGAAATGTCTAGGCCCATCACTTTGCCTTCATGGCCAGCCAGAGTCTTCAGTGGAGACCAGCCTGGGTGGGTCCAGATCTTGGCAGTGTTATCATAAGCACCAGTGAGCAAGAAATTCCCATGGATAGCTTTAAGAGAAAAGAAGGGGAGCTGCTTGAGGTACTCAAGTATCAAAAGAGGAAAGAAAATAAAAGCACAAAAATCTGCTAGAATATACGATTTCAAAAAAGAAGATATTTCTCCATTTGGAAAAGCCCAATATTCTCATCTACATTTCTACAAGACCTCCAGGAAAAAGGGACTACACACTTAGGGAAACAAGCAACATTATTAAGGTCTTCTGGCTCTTTCCCTGACAGTATTTTTAGAATAACATTAAGGAGT